ATATTCCAGAAGTTATGGCTTGTCTAATAGATTCGGTACATATAGCTCGTATTACCTCATCAAATCCCTCAAGAATAAATTAGATACTAAAGCACTGATATCAGTTTATTTCGACAAGTTTCAGTCAATTATTCACAACATTGCTGTCTGAGGTTTAGCATAGCAACTGAGGTGGACAGAATTTTCATAAAACAGAAAGCATTACCGAGGCTAATTTTCAATCTAGATTACAGAACGTCATGTAAAGAGATTTTTCGTCAAAATAAAATACTAACATTGACGTATATCCATGAAAATAGAAGACAACTAGAGTCGAGATCAGAAGTCCATAGTTATCATAATAGGAACAACCATATGCTCATCACCCAAAAACACTATCATGCAAAGTATAAAAAGTCTCCTATGTTTGCTGGTATCCGTCTCTTTAATATACTACCAAGCAATAGGAAGACACTACCACCTCAAGTTTTTGAAAAACAGTTGAAAGTGTTTCTATCAGAAAAAGAGAAACCATTCAATGAAAATTATTCAGTAGGAAGATATAAAGAAGGAATTGAATGAGAAGTAAAAATTTCATGTCAAGGTTTTCAACGACTTTTATGGAAGGCGTTGAAACATTCCAAACAGAATCGAGGATTTTCTTCACATTGAACACGAAAAGTTATGACTTTTTTCATCTTATTTTTTACTTTATTACCGTCGACTTTTTTTATAACAACCCTTACAGTATTCTTGGTTTTCACGAGCTTTACAATCTAATTTCGATAGAGTATGAGCTCTCAGGATTACAGGTAGGCAAGGAGCAACAACTCGTTGTTCTTCGAACTTCAGTAACTCGACATTTGATCCGATAAATCGATGGAACTTTTGTCAGTATTATAATCGATGACTGCTTTTGGTTTTTGAATGATGGTTCCACGACGGTGGATTTGTACAGTTTCGTCAGTATGACATGTAGACAAAATCAAGACATCTCTTTCATCTCTCCATTTGAGCACACACATTTCTCGTTCATTTTTTTCTAGCAACAATTTAACCTTTTTTTAGTTTCTTTTGCGTAACTTCAGCGAGATTTCCTTTTCGATTACTACGTAATGTTCCAAGGCAGTGTGTTTTTGTATCCAATAATATGTAGGCTAGTTGCAGGCTGGTATACCAATTATCGGTGACACATACTCTGCCGCATTCCAAGAGATTATGTGCCAGATCTAAAACAATTTTTGTGGATGCTAATATTGGATTTTCTTTATTCTTCGGATTATCTTTGTTCTGTTGGCCTGCATATATGCGTATATTCCAAGTATATCCTTTTTCTGAACAAAATGTGTACAATTTGATCTCATATTTATGGGTTTTCTGTGGCTTGGAAGCTTATCAAGCAATGGATAAATTTCATATAAGCGATCTCCTTCCGGACACAGATTGTTGTCAGAGAACTGGAGCATTTTCAATAACAACTCGAATTTATTTCGGCTCATTACGCTTGAGACAACCTCGTTTCGAAAATCCACTTTATAGACCAATAGTCTCTGATTGAATTCAACGGAACAATGCCCATATAAGCAAGAAGACCTAGCAAATGAATTATATCTTAACGATTAGTGGGTTTCCGCGCATGTAATCGAGATTTGTTAGATATAGTCTCATCTCCTAAAAACATCTGGGTGGCATAAGTATTGGTTTCATCGACTACAATGTCAATTATATTCCAATCCACGAAAGCCAAGTAATAGTCGATAGGTATACTTCCTTGTAATGCTGCATGATATTGAGGATGTATGCCTCCCATAAATGTTTCTTCAAAACGTGAATGCTCTCCTCTTGGAATATCCCAAACAGAAGTGTGTGAATCTTGAGGTGAAATTTGTTTTTCAACATTTTCTGTATTCCTCTCATCATCTGATTGACACATATTGAAATCTGAATGAATCACGCACCTTCAGCATTCATCGTGGTATCTGCGTCTTGCTGAGATGAGTCGTGGTTGTCCTCTGGGAATATTTGAGATTGACCACTCTCAAACTCACTATCATCAGTAAGATTTTCGATGCTTTATGTTGGTAGACACCCAGGATCATCGAACGAATCGTCCGCAAAAGGATCACTCGAGGACTCAGAATTATCATCTGGTGAAAACAGTGACTGAAAATTCTTGCCATAGCCAATACCACAATTCGTTTTGTACGGCTGCTCATACTGATACTATCGAATAATATCAACAAAACAACCACCCCGATCAGTTCAAAATGACAAACTGAATAGGAAACTTGTTAGAGCTTTTGAAATTATATCGGCGATCACCTAGTTGAAAGTCGTGTCCGATTGGTGGAAGCATTTTTGTGCCGGCCAAAGCGGACACCCGTGTCTGCTAGGAGTAATCTGGAGGCCAAGGCGGACACGGGTGTCCGCTCTCATTTTTTGTGTGACTTGAATATCAAAAATGAGAAAAAATTGAGGAAACTAAAAATTACATGCCAAATGATGTGAATTGTCAAAAAAAACATGGTGGCCCAGATGAAAGTTTGATAAAAATCACATGGTGCTTAACCTGTTAAATTCAAACCGTTGTTACACTTCCGGGCATACATGACTGATTTAGGGGAGTCTGATATATTTTATGCCCCCACAAAAAGTGCTCAAGGAGGTCATCCAGTTGCACCAACTCGAAACTTACCGTACAGATAATCAAGCACATTTTGTGAGTGAGGTGGAGATAAATTATCGAAGTTGAAACTCACTTATTCATCTCTATTCCTCCGTATTAGTAAGTACACACATCGGAAAAGTCTAGGGATATTTTTTAAAATGGCAATATTTTTTTTTAGATCGCTTTAGGGAAAAAAAGTTGACGGGTGATTATTAAACGAATATAACTTACAACAAAATTTATTAAATGGGCAAGAATACTGAGTGCGCATATAAGCAAAATTTAAAAAAAAAATGGCTCTTCTTTGGCACTCCGAAAAAAAATCATAATACAAAAAAATTGGAAGCAGTACAAAGTATGGCCTCCACGCTGGTTTATTACGGCCCTACATCTATCGTGCATCGACAAATACATCTATCGTGCATCGACAAAATGAGATTGTTAATGTCTTGTTCAGGTACATTTGCCCATTCAGCGATTAAAAGCTCTCACAATTGAAACGTTGTGTGAATGTTCCCCATATGCGGAGTAATTCTTCGTTGAAGCATGTCCCACACATGCTCGATGGGATTCAGGTCCGGTGATTGTGCTGGCCATGGCAATACATCAACTCCTTCGTTGGTGAGCCAGTCAGTCACTAGACGCGCGACATGTGGACGAGCATTATCGTGCATTAGGTGGAAGTTTTCACCAACAGCACCAGCAAACGGACGGACGATAGGTAGAAGAATGGTGTCGAGGTACTGTCGAGCTGTGAGGGAGCGATTTGGAAAAACGAGATCGGTTCTGCCGCCGATCATGATTCCGCCCCATAGCATTACTGTACCACCTCTGTATGTGTGGACTTCTTGGACGTGTCTCAAACGTTCATTATTTCCAGGTCGTCTCCACAGTCTTACTCGACGAGAATCTGGATGAAATCCAAATCTGGATTCGTCTGTAAACAAAACTGTGGCCCAATCATTTGCATCCCAGTTTTGATGTTCTTGACACCACTCTAATCTTCTACCGCGATTGCCTCTCGACAAAGGTGGACATCTAAGTGGCCTTCTGTTGTGGAGATCTGCTTCATGCAGTCGATTTCTGACAGTATCAAGACCAATGGTTACCTGGTGCGTCTGCTGCAACACGTTAACCAACTCAGGTGCTGTGATTGTCGGTTGTCTTCTTGCGGTTAAGACCAAAAATCGGTCTTGAACTGCAGTTGTAGCGCGTCCTCGCCCTGGATGTTGTTCGGCTGGACTGCCAGTTTCACGGAAACGCCGCCACAATCGACTGATAATACTTTGGGAGACCCCCAAACGAAGAGCTACATCATTTTGTCGCATGCCACCTTGAAGAAGCCCTACAGCACTATTTATCTCAGCCAATGGTAAGTGATGGCGTTCCATGTTAAAGCACAATATTTCCAGTTTAATTGCTGAGCAAGAACTGCATAGAATGTACAAACTCGACACTTTCAGATTATTCATTTTAGCCGAAAACCTACAGTTTGTAAAAAACTTGATAAAAGATTAGTTACCGTTTTTGCAGGCTTTGTTCAACCCATAGAAATCTACAGGGTGGTCGAGTGTACCAATTTAATCGAAATTAAACGACCTCATGCATTAATTTTTATGATATTTAGTATGTTATAAAAATATCCCTAGACTTTTCCGATGTGTGTATATAGGTGCTTCTTAGGTCTTAGATGCGCACTAAGGAAAGATTCTCAAATATTCCTACCCGCCTGGCGTGGGGGCAAAAGGGACATGTTTACATATGAAAATTACCTTTCATCACTATTTCTCCGTACCGAGGTATTTTCGGAGACTGAAATTTTATATGTAGGTTCGTTTTATATTATAGATGTGCCAATGCACCCGTGCAAAACCGGGGGGCGGGTTGCTAGTACAGGAAATGAGACTTTAGGACATGCTTACTCCCATTGAGGATATTATAGCAGTTTGAAACAGTGTTGTCTTGTGTAAGATAGTGGATGCTCTGTTTTTGGGCTCTGGTTCCAACTAATTACCTTGCTTTGACGGTTACTGTGCCACTCGGAGGACGAATCCCTTCATTGTCTTTGGTATTCATGGATTGAGTTTTATGTCAATATCCCAGTTGGCGTTTTTGTGAGGAGAGATGTTATTGTAAATGACAAAGAGAAATTTCAAGTTGAATGGACTGAACTGAAATATACTATTGATGTAACTCTTGAAAAGTTATTTCCGCCTGGTTTCCATCTCTCAATAAAATATCGCGAATATTTTCCTATTAAAAGTATATCTGAACAAATTCCACTCACATAAAACTTCTGAAATTCACAATATATATACAGGCAGTTTTTATTTACACTATTTGAAAATTTCAGATGGAAGCTCGCATCGGCTGATTTTTGACAAGACCCTCCAAGTTCGTCAACTCAACGTCGTCGAACCTCATGGAATATTCCTTCTGCGAGGCGGTCACAGCAATAAAGAAGGGAAAATTTATGTATTCAGGCTGTCTCAGATCGAATCAATATCTGATCCCAAGAGTCGCATGGATATTAAGGACCACCGATTAGACCGCACAAGAGGCACCAATCTCTACACTATTTCAAGGCCAGGTCGGTTATTCATTATGAAATTGAGTTTCAAAGAAAGATTCATTTCAGATCCAAACATATCAAATAATTGTGATAGCTTTCTGCTATTTGGGAGTTGTTTGACTTCTCATGTCTAGTCTCAAGGCTTAAACATTTTTTATTTCATCTTTTCATAGTTGTATTAGCTGAAATGGTTTGCAAAGGTCTTTTGTAGGATTGTTTCTTAGCGTTTTTTGGGGTACATAACATTCCACAATCAGTAACCTGTCGTATCATTAAATTTCACTTACAAATTGAAAAAAATAAATACGATGAGGGACTATATTTATATTTCGGGAACTGGCAATACTAATGTCAATAGGTAAAATGTGCCAACACCCTAATAAAGTTTGACATTTTTTAGCATAAACGTAGGTACTCACAACGTTTTGCTTTGTTCGCAGTGAGTTAAGAAAATCAAAAATGGAAATTTCAAGAAAAGGTTGGATTATTTTTACAACTTTCTACGTGAATTATCTCAATAGGAATGTGTCGATGAACGCAGTTCTTTGTACGGCGATAAAGCACCATCAAAAACCACAGTATATCGCTAGTATAGTGAATTCAATCGTGGTCGTACTTCGATCGCCGATAAATTTCGTGAAAGTCGTCCAAAATCAGTTGTTTTGCCAGAAAATATCAATGCAGTGCGTGGATTGATAATACTTTAGTTCCACTTCAATATATATTTGATTTTACGTGAACACTTATTTGTAATAGAATTGTTCCCGTTTTATACATCGTAATTTATCAACCGCTCAAAAAAAAGACTCGCGTCAGTGGTGTGAGGAAATAATTGAAATGTTCGACCGTGGTGCGTCAAAAGACGTGTATTAAATCGTGACATGTGACGAATCATGGACATATGAGTATGATTCGGAAACAAAACAGCAATCGACCTCATGGGTATCATAAGACGAGCTAAATCCAACAAAAATTGTTCATGAAAGAAGCACAGAAGAGCAAATGGTCGCCTGTTTCTTCGGCCGAATGGGTCATGTGGCCACTGTTCCACTTGAGCAACGTAGATCGGTCCACTCTAAGTGTTACACCGGAAGTTTTCGGAGAAATTGGTAAAACTAACCGCCGAAAACGAATCATTCTCTATCATGACACTGCGAGCTTTCGTCAAACTGGTGCATTTTTGAGCTGTCAAAGCATCGAATTGATGACTTATTCTCCCTACAGTCCTGATTTGGTACCCAATGACTTCTTCTTGTTTCCGAATATCAATGGTAAATTGCGTGGTCAACGATTTACGAACGCCAAACAAGCACTTGAAGCCTTCCAAAACCATGTTTTGGAGATGTCTCAAGAGAAATGGAAAAACTGCTTTGACAAATGGTTTGAAAGAGTAGGCCTTTTCATCACAATTTTTTGTGCGCATGCGTCTGTATCAGCCATCTTTTTCGTACTGTTTTTTTTGTAAACAACCATGTTAAAGAGCCCGCAACTCATGTTTAAAGAATTAAAATATAAATTGAAGTCAAAATATTCAGAAAAATGTTTTATACTCCATTATAATTATGTTATCTGTACGAAAAGGAACAACGAAATGGTGTTGTCATGGAGTATGTAAAAGTGATACACGATACAAATAATTCAAAATCAACAAATCTATTTTGGATTGGTTCGACTCCCACCTTACTGGGCGCAGTCAAGTCGTAAAAATTATGTAACTTCAAAATATATTAATATACATTATGGAGTGCCACAAGGATCGTTTTTGGGACCTACTCTTTTTCTTATCGATC